AATTTTCGGAATGTTCCAAAAATTTCAGGAAATTTGTGGTTTACGTTCCACATTCGATCCGTTTGCGTTGCGTTGACGTAAATTTGACAGTAGATTAGACGAGGTAGTAGAGCTTCAGATCCAGATTTAATGTGGGTGGGCTTTATGGAAATTTAGGGACCTTCAGGAGAGTTTAGATATTTTAAGGGAAGATTCATGACTTTCAAGTGAGTATCGAAAGCTTCAGGAAAATTTCGGGATCTTCAGGGTGGATCAAAGGACTTTAAAGTGGTTCATTTAAGTTCAGGAAAATAGTAGGAATTTTTTAACAGCTTTGATAAATTCAAGAAAGTCTAGAGAACATTATTGAAGTTCAGAAATCCTTTGGGCAGTTGCAATCACTTCAGGTAAGCACCGAAAACATTAGCTGAGAAACTGAATAGCTAATATTTGATTGGTATTTTTAAGTTTTATGGCGAGCTGATACCTGACAATTTTTTAAAAGTCCCTTTTTTTAATTTACGTATCATGTAAATTATTCAAAGGGTACTAGGCCGAGCGCTGTAGGTCCAAATCGGTGATTGGACCGAATGTTATGTAGTGATAGATTGGACATACTCACTTGATTATTTTGGCTGAATTTCGGCAATATTTGCCGAGATTTGCACAGCCGAGCTCTCGGCAAACATATTTCGACAAGAGATCTCAACATAAAGTAAAGTTTGGTTGCTAAGTCTCGGAAAATGATTTGCTGAATCTCAGCAAACAAACGTAATGTTTGCTGAGATCTCAGTAAAATTTAATGCCGAGCACTTGGCTGTGCACATCTCGGCGAAAAATTGAGCTGCCGAAAACAAAACTAAGTATGTAGAAATTCTATAACAAAAGGGATCTTTGAAATAACATATGAGAACTCGGTCCATAGATTCCCATACACCATAATTGGAACTCACCATAATAGGAACATGTAAGCCATAATTAATAGTGACAAGTGAATCAGTTAGCAATTTTCCGATATTTTCCCGTTTTCCCAGAATTTTCAATTAAGCATACAACCGAAAGCCGAAGGGATCACTAGGTTAATTTGGATTGCCATAGCTCTTTAGCTAGGGGGTGCCTAGCGTGTCTGGTCCCCTCCAGAATAATCTAGGTCACCTCCAGTATTTTTTAAGTATGATATAATTTAAATTGTCGGTATTAGAGTCCCAAAAAAAAAAAATCTGGAGAGAGCCTGGATCATTCTGGCGGACGCCAGGTACCCTAGGCACCACCATTAGCTAAACCAATATTAAATGGGTCATTGCTAAGACAGCAGCATTTTTCTTGCATCTTGAATTTCAAAGACTTACGTTCGAAGACTTCAAAATTAGTCTTTGTTTTAATTTGAAAAACACAAACTTTTAACAGGTTTTTATTGGAATGATTTCAAGCATTTCCCTTAGAATCCCTTAAAGATTTACTACAAAGTTTTGTTAAGATTTAATCTGAAATACATTCTAACATCACCGGACCTCACTTTGCTCAGTCGGTAAAGGGGCATGGGAATTTTTCGGGTTGGAAATTTATCGACTTCCCTGGGCATAGAGTATGATTGTACTTGCCACACAATTATACTAACACAAAAATGGTACAGGCATCGAAAGCTCTCAATCAATAACTGTGGAAGTGCATCTAGAACACTTAGTTGAGATAAATCAAAAAGCTAATATGCGATAAGCATTAAACCTTTAAATGTGAAGCAGAAGAAGAAGAAGAAAAATATTCTAACATATCCTCAAAAATCCTAGGAAACAAATATATAAAATTATCTAAATAACTCTTCATAGTGACTGTATTCTGAAAATCTAGTCCAGTCCAAAGGTCTTGACATGATTTCAAAGTCCAAAGTCCTATTTTTTTTAAGAGAGGACGAAGTATCTGATTTACCGTTCTGCCATCGAAATTCACGGGTTTTTACCGGTGACTTCTATTTCCCCACTTTTTCCGATTTCCCGGTTAACTGGGTACTCCATTGGGACAAAACATTCAAATTTACATACTCATTTTTTTATATTGCCGATTGCAGTACATCTGTTCATCTAAGATTAAAAATAAAATCATTAGTCTTGGATTTAAACCAAAAACTTTGAAAAATTGCTAAGAGAGCAAAATGAGTTTTGAGGAGAATTTCGTTCTTCCACAATTCTTTCTCTTGCTCTGAAGATAGTTCAAAATGAATTATGAGGAAAATTGCTTAGATATTTGACTAGAAGTTCCTGGTAATTTTGAAAAGCATTTCAGGAGAACTATAAGGAAAACTAAAGGTGAATTACAAGGTAGTTCTAAAGAGACTATTATTGATATCATGCGCAGAATTCGTGGCAATTCTAAAGAAACTGTGAAGCAGTTAATTTCAGGAAGCATTACAAGGTAATTTGGAGGAAAATTCTAAGTGACGGCAAACTTAATGGTGATATATAGCGTTCAGAATAGTAAGGGCCTAATGATGATTGATTTGCTTCATCGATTTTCTATTTCGATAAAAAACTCGGTTGGTCGGTGTCTCGGTGCGTTTTATGTTGCTTTTGCTAGCTAATGCAGTCCTTTATAGTATTGTATTGGAAAAATGTCATTCACTTGGTTCACTTAACTGTAGTAATATTGGCAAAAAGAAAATCGATGAAGAGAATCGATCATCACAGTTAAACCCTTATGATTCTGAACGGAAGATATGTTTCATCTAGCAAATCTCTTAAATGTTAATCAATGAATCAATCTAGCAATGAAAGAGAATTCTGAAGAGAGCTCAGAAGGAATATCCATAATAATTCCTAGAGAATCTAATACTGAATATAATTAAAGAAATTCTGTTCAAAATTTCAAGCGAAGAGAATTCATAAGAATTGATGAAATTTTAAGAGATTTCCGAGAGGGCTTCAAAGAAAGCCCTCAGAGGGAATTTTTTGGAAATCAAATAAAAATCTCAGTAACGTTCCAGAATATTCTGAACATCAAGAATCATTCGGAGATTGGAAAAGTTGTCAACAAATTACGTGTCTAAGATTTAGAAACTGCATTGGATTCTTATATGCATAGTTTTAGGAAATAATCACGAACTTGGGCTTGACAAGTTATCAAAACTCTGGGATATTGCAATTTTTTTTACTTTAGACCTAATTTTTGGAAAAATTTATTTAGAATTCAATTAATATATGTCCATCTAAAAAATACATTTTAAGGATTCTATTAAAATTCCCGGTTCTACCGGTTCACTGGCCTAGCAATGGGCGATTTAGGATCGAAACACAAAAGAACGATTCTTTTGGTTCGACAAAAATCGACTGGATCGATCCTTCTCATTCGATTTTTGTATCGATCAAAAAAAAATTTGAGTGCGTTTGCATTTGCAATTTTTGCTGTTTTTTTTGTCTTCACCTTTGTACATCACTTGCATTGAACATGTACGTTGAGCTGGTGGATACATTTGCTATTACAATGCTCCTTGATCCCCGTTTCAAGACACTGTACCTGGAGGCTTCAGCTCAGGCTCGGGTAGTTAAAATTGTGTCTGAGCAGTTCTAAACTGAGGCAAATATACTTAAGAATTTCATAAGGCTCGACTTATGAACGACACATATGAATTTCATAAGTGCGACTTATGAAAGATTTTCGTCTAACATAAGGTAGCTCTTATACACCTTTAGCCATTCCATTAACCTAAGCGTCGACAGACGAGTGGTCCAGACATAGGACCTGTAACATTTACTTCTTATGTCATATATCAGGTTCATCAGTCCTCTGCTATGCTTCAGAACTGTCATCGGCAGAATTACAACATTTCTTGCATCAGCCTGTTTTCTCACGTTCTGTCGATTCTTTTCAAGCATGGAAGAAAATTCGTAGTGAATATTGCCCCATTGCTAGAGACTATTTATCAAGAATGGTGGCAAGTGTTCCATCAGAGAGGCTATTCTCTAAAACTAGTGGAACCACACAGAATCGATATCGGCTCAATGCAAAACGCATGGCTCAATTAGCTTTCTTGAGATCCCTCTCGGATGAGTTTTGGGATATATGAATTAAGTATTTTCTGTAATTACCTGCTTTTACACTCCGACCATCTAATCGTTTTGTTTCATATGTTAATCTTTCGTTTTTTGAATCGGTCATTTAATACCAATAAAACGAATATTATAACCTGTTGCATCATTCACCTAATCAATTATCCTGAGCAAAAACTTTCACGTGTCAAATGAAATCAAAATATGTATGTTGAACTCACAACTTTTACTGCGTACGTACTACACAATTTATTTCTAAATGATATCAATCATCACACTAAATGACTATTATAATTAAATTTCATAACAAGATAGCTTATGTAACGTAATATTAACGTAGGAATGATCGTGGTGTTAATCTGCACATACTTTCCTATGATCCGTTATAGTTGAAACATTTTTCTGCCATTTTGAAAAATGAATCGATTCAAAAAGATCGATTCAAAATGATTGATTAAATCGGTGAATCGATTATTTAAAAAAAAATCGATTCACTAAGATCGATTATTGCCTGGCCACCATGAGATCGGTGCAACAGCAAAATACATTTCAAATAACCAAAATCATCTAAAAAAAACACCATAACGATCAAGAGTTGTCACCTAGCGTATTCATCAATAATATTTTCCTCTTACAAAACCTCTCATCAAATATCACTCATAACAAGTCCAATTAATCAAAAACTGAAGAGGATTTAATTCATTAGGCTCCATAACAGCAAACACCCTCTCCCCAATAGGAAGCAATAAAGCAATCAAGCTACCAAACGCGACAGAAAACCGTTGTCATCTGGCATAAAACCGATTTAAATTAAACGGATCATCACTTGCCATCCGGCAAAAATCCGACATGTGCCCCACAAGTGCCATTAGTGCGGCCTAACCGCAATCAGCGCTCTCACCTGCACAAGGCGAAAGTGCCAAAAAAAAAAAATAGCAAACAGAAGTAGGTACTACCTAACAGTTTGTCATCGACACTTACCTTTCTCATCGGCATGATGAGCGTATTGGTCGACATGTTGGTGGGCGTCTTCAGCTGCTGTTGCTGCTGCTGTTGCTGTGGCATTCCCGACTGCTGTTGTGTCGGTTGCTGTTGCCGCATTGGCACCATGGCCCCAATGGCCCCATTCAAACCGAGCGCGGTCAACTGCTGTGACTGCGTCTGGGGCGAACCGGGGATCGACGAGGACGTATGCTGTGGTTGCTGAGCGGCCGCAATCGGTTGCTGACCGAGGTTCAGATGGGCCGCCGGATGGTGGGCCATAAAGCTACGCAGATTCAACGGAGTAAACATGGCGGCAGCAGCCGCCGAATGCAACGATTGATGCTGCATGGCAGCAGCGGCTGCGACTGCCGCAGCCGGATTGTGTAGGGCCGCAGCCGGATGATGCTGATGCAGCTGGTGCTGATGATGGTAGGATGCAGCCTGTTGGCTGACCTGCTGTTGACCGGCGGTCTGAACCTGCGGCGGCGGTTGAACCGCTGCTGCCGCAATCTGAGGCTGATGGTAACCGGCCGTAGCCGGATTGAACGGAACCGCCAACATCTTCTGGAGGCCCATCCCCGGGACACCCCACGGTATATACCAGGAACCGGGATGGTGCTGCATCTTCGATATGCGCTTCTTCGAACTTCTTCACACTAACAAACTCCACTTAATAATTCCAACAACAACAAAATATGCTTCTTCTTATTCTCACTTGGTATCACTATCAATCATGAATCGAACTAGGGAAACACTATCAAACCCAACAGGTAGCATAAACACACTTTGCTCCTCTTCTCACGTCGTTGCTCCTGGGACGGAACGTAAACAAACCGCACGGGAAATAAGAAAAAAAAAATCGGTCGCCAACTCGCGCCTTGCAAGAAAAAGTGTGAATCGCACGATCGCGTAGCTCGTCGTCACGCTGCCTCCGATAGGCAACAAGACAAAAAGGCAACTAAAAACCAAATAAATTAATGCTAAACATCAACACGCTCGCTCGCTGGCGGCGCTCAGAGGTTGGGGCTCTCTTCTGCTAGGTTGCCACTTGCGCGCGCGCGCTCGGCTCTGCTCTCTCTCGGCTAGCGAAGTGTTCACTGGGAGGGGGTGATATAATATTGACACAAGCGCGCAGCGACCGCTCTACCACTTGGGGGCTGTCGAGCCACTTCACGAGCTTCTTCACTTTGGCTCGCAGCTAAAGGTTTGTTTGGAGCAGCACCGACGGCAGCTAGCAATCTGCACTTTTTTCCTGGCTCTCATTGACGGCGTCGTCGTCGTCGTCGTCGTCCTCCTCCTAGCTGGTGTCGATAGGGCTGAGGCTGTAGTACAGAAGCTCATCCAACCGGGAGAACGTTCCTCCGATATTGCATAACCTTAAACTGGCCCTCGTTAATTATTCGTTATTTATCTTTTCGCTTTGTTCTCAACGGGGCACGCGCGGGTCAACGACGGCTGCTGACGAACACGGACAATACGGCGGATGACACGAAAGCCAACGGTGGAGTAAATTAAATTAACAACAGTACATCATGTACGGCGTGGATGACCGATATTTGTGCTATCATCAGCGATATCGTCGAATGCTGCCGGTAGGTTGCTAAAAGTTGAAAGTTGACAACGATGACGAGGCCGTTGATGAAGATTGCAAATTGGGAAGAGACAGAAAGAGGGGGAAAAAATATGGTGATATAATTAGTGTTGTGTGATTAATTAGTAAAACAGAAGTGATTCTTGCTCCCGGGGTATCGCTTACACGCGCTCTTTTGCTAGTTGTTCTTCTGCTGCTGTTGGCACGATGCTGGTCGTCGATGGTGGTCTAGGGGGGGGGAGTAAGCTGACGGAGACGGTTGGAGTTTTGGGAAGAATAATTGGAGATGATTGCCGAGAGATTAAGTGTCACTTTGTTTTTTTATTGAGACATAAATTTAAAACCCTGTATGTTCCTGATTGAGATGTGCTGTACTATAAGGAACCGGAAACTGATCTATGAATACGATTACACGTCATACGTTCTCATTGAATGACTATTTACGCATTAATGCTTTGAAGATTGGACCACATAATCCAGCAAACAACTTTTGATGTATTTAAAACTGCGGTTAAGATTTGCTTTAAGACTTAAGCTATTTTAAGGGTCAAAGAAGAGCCGATTGTCTAGATCCGCTTCATTGCGTTTTTTGTTGTTGTAAATAATGACGCAGTAAATAAGACTCATATGAGTATAAGTCGGTAACGCATGTAGGAAAATTACGACGTATGTAAACATATTGACTTCGGTCAAGATAGAATCGAATCGGTTAAGAATGAGACCCGAAATATAATGTACAAAGTAGACTCAGAATTGAAAGAAACAAAAGAGAGGGAAACAGACCGAACAGAATTACCGTCGTGGCGGGCTTCTTTGGACACTTTCAAATTTGTTGAATCATATGAAGAATGTAGATTAGATTGAATGTTTATCCACAATTTGTTACTGAAGCTAATCTAATCTTACAAAATCCTCTGCTAATATCATTACAAGATTCCCATAATTGAACGAAAAAGGTTACCAACGGATTCTATAAAAAGTTTATCATCCCTAAAATGTAATTCATAATCGATGTTGAAACTTGTAAAAACATTCACAACCACCTCTCAGGAGTCGATAAGAATTCATATTAGCCAGGTAAAGAAAAGAGGCAATGTTTCTTCATATTACAGTCGGGAATCTTTATTCCCGGATATCTAACTAGTTCTAAATTCTTTAGTTGAAGCGAGAGCTGCCTCAGTACCAAAATGCGACCGTAACTTGTATGGAATTATAATAGATGACGATCTTCAGCTCTTGATCCGTCGGAAAAATGTCCGTAGGAGGCAATATCCAAGAACACGCGATCCTGCCATGAAAGTTATCTGGCGGGATTTGCAAAAGAAAATTAAAAACCGATTCTCTGCCCTGAGGAAAAACACTTTTGAAAACAATGCTTCGAAATTAGACCCGAGTTCCAAACCCATTTGGAAGCTCACAAAAAATATGAAAAAGCTCAAAAGACTATTCCTGCGTTTAAAGAAGTTGGTAAAACTTTGATCACAAATTCGGGAAAAAAAGCTCAGAATCTTCCTGATGAATGTGGGCGTCTTAGTGGAATACCTGTATGAAGAGAGAGAGACTTCTTCAGTGTCTTGTACTAATACTCGACTATTAGTATAAGACACTGTATTATTCGAGTATTAGTACAAGACACTGAAGAAGTCTGCACATTGTAGACGAAATACGCGTATCTGTCAAGGATAAGCAAATAAGGTAGTGGAATTAAATGGAAATTACTAATATTTCTCTCTCTCTCTCTCTCTCTCTTTATACTCAGAATCTTGCTAAGCAATTCGAGAGCTCCCATAAATTCAATTTGGGTCTTACTAGTCCTATTGAGAATCGGGATTATCTACATATTTTCTCTTAGGAATATATGTTTGGTGGTTACTGGGGGACTGCTTTGAACAAATTAAGATCTTTAACTAAACAATTTCAAAATATGAAAGCTCCAGGTGATGATGGCATTTTCTATATTCTCATCAAAAAACTCCCAGAGAGTACCTTGTCTTTCTTGGTAAAATTATTTAACAGATGTTTCCATTTGGCATACTTTCCTGATAAATGGAAAAATGCAAAAGTTGTTCCAATTTTGAAGCCGGATAAAAATCCAGCTGGAGCTTCTAGCTACCGTCCAATAAGTTTGCTTTCTTCAATAAGTAAACTTATTGAAAAGATAATTTTAAATAGAATGATGCTTCACATCAATACGAACTCAATTTTTGCAGATGAGCAGTTTGGATTTCGCCATGGGCATTCAACTACTCATCAACTCTTAAGAGTTACCAATTTAATTCGTTCAAACAAATCTGAAGGCCACTCAACTGGAGTTGCTCTTCTAGACATAGAAAAAGCATTCGACAGTGTTTGGCATGAAGGTTTGATTGCTAAATTGAAAAAGTTTAATTTTCCACTTTATATTATGAAATTAGTTCAAAATTATTTAGCTGACAGAACTCTGGAGATAAATTATCAAAATTACAAATCCGAACGACTACCTGTTAGAGCTGGAGTGCCTAAGGGTAGCATTCTTAGGCCTGTATAACATTGTATAACATTTTCACTTCGGACCACCCTGATTTGCTTCAGGGTTGATATAAATTTGTGTTCGCCGATGACACAGGTATTTCTGCTAACGGATGAAGTTTTCGTGTTGTTTGCAGCAATGCTTGCAAAATTTATCTTCCAATATTCCCACATAAGTCTAGAGTTTCCTTTTTGAAATCTAGTAGTAGTCACATAGTCACTATGAACGGAGTTCCAATTTCCTGGTCAAACCAAGAGAAATATATTGGATTGGTAGTTGACCAAAATTGCCTTTAAAAGATGACATTAAGGGCATTCAAGCCAAATGTATCAAATACAGGACTGGTAGCGATCACTGCTATCAAAAATAGTGATTTTAGTGACCATGTTGAAGAAATAAGTGACCAAATAGTGACTTATAGTTGTAAAAATAGTGACTGAAAAGTAACCTAAGTAGTTGTTCTAATGGCACACCAATTAAATGTTTGATATTTTAGACTTGTTCAATAAATATCTCATAAACACTTATGTGCGATATGAACCTTTAAAGCAAAAGATTCAATAGAAAGTTTAAGGCAAAACCCACGGTATTAGTCTAATAACTGCAAAAATCTGAAAAACCGGGAATCCTCAGGAAACTTTATTTTTCCTTAAAATACCTGGAAGGCATTTAATTTTTCTCGTTATTTTCATTCACACTTTGAACATTATAGATAGAGTGGAGTAATCTTAAGTAACAAATAAATTTAAAAAACCGAGACTTTAAATGTTGTTTTATTTTTTGAACATGCATATTTCCTAGAAATTTTAAATTTGGACTAGTTCTGGACTTAAAAGCAATAATACTTCAAGAAATTTTCAAGAATCTGGAGTCAAATTCCATGCACAGTTTTAAAAGCTCGTGGAATTTTATTAAAATTTCTTAGGACCACAATTCGAGGAAGTTCTGGGAAAACAACCTTTCAGATAAAAAAAAAATCCTATGCAATCTGCTTTCAAGGTAGTTCTAAGGAATTTAAGATTTCTGGTGAAGCCTGATAGTTTTGAGTAGAATTTCAAGAAACCCGGAAAGAATTAAAAGTAAATTTTAATGAAAACTCTTAGTAATTTCTGAGAAGCACATACCTGTGAACTTCAGAGGAATATTCCAAAAGCATTTTGAGGATAATTTCATGAAGTTTGTGGGAGAAAACGAATCCGGAGCATAAGTTTTTGAATAATTTTACAATTAAATCTGAGCATAACTCCAGAACATCTTCAAAGGAATTCGGCAAATAAAATCAGAAGAGTTTACCAAACAAATTATGAGAAGAAATCTAAAGAATTTGTGAGAAGAAATGCCAATGAATTCTTAGGAGACTTTCAATGTGAGTAGAATTCCAAGGGAAGGAGTGAGATTCAAAAAGAAATCTGAAATGAATTGAATTAATATTCGGATAATCTTTCCAAAGGGTTGCTTATTCTGGTGAATTTCAAGATATTTCCGAGGGAAACTAAAAGAAAATTGAATTCGACGCTTCATCGAAATTTTGAGGTATGTTTCAATGGAAATCAGAATGGACTATTCTCAGGTCTTCAGAACTACTTGAAAGTTCCCAAATTTGTCCTGAAGGTAATGAAACTGCTTTGCAGTTCTTTTTTGTTTGAGAAACTAGCCTGATGCTCACAATACTTCTCATTAGATTCTCAAACTTCCTCGAGTTCCCGAAATGTTTCTGAAGATCACTGTCCTTCTGTGAAGGTTTCGAAGTTTTTCTAAACTTCTGGAACTTTCATGGACTTAGAGCGACATAATTAACATAGCTCTATGATTTTCTCTGAAGTTCTCGAGATTTTTTGGAAGTTCATGAAACTTTCCGTAAATTATTGGCACTAATTTAAAATTGTTTCAATAGTCTGGTGGTGATATTAAAACTGCCTAAACGATTATTTAATTTCTTAAAAGTTCTCTAGACTGCCCTGAATTTATCAGTATTTTTTAAGAACTCGCAACTTTACTGAAATTAAATAATTTTTCTTGAAGTATTCCTTAATAATTTTTAACGCTCACTAATTTTCCCGAAACATATCTATGCTTACCTGAAGTTCTCTAAATTTGTTTGATAATCCTTCAAATTTTCTTAAATTAATGGAATTATTCTGAAGCTATCTGATCGTCCTCGAAGTACTCAGAACATCTCTGAATATCATGAAACGATCTAAAAATATCTTAATGTATTAGAAATTCTCTGGATCTTTTTAGGTTCTTAAAATCTCCATGATATAACACTCTTAAAATACTCTCACGTTTCCCGGATGTTCATTAAATTTTTATCACGCTCCAGAAATTCTCTCGGAGCTTTGCTGAAGTTTCCGGGAATTCTCTGAGTTTCTCGAAACTTCTTTAAGGTTTCTACATCTCCTTGAAATTATTTGAACTGCCCTTTGATTCTCTGATCTGTCTTGATGTTTTTGAAGCTTCACTTAAGCTCTAAATTCTATTGAGGATCTCAGTTCTGCTG